TTTTTTTAGCTTTTTTTCAGTAGTATCTATCGGCATTATTTTTGCAGATATTCTGTTATGCTTATTATACAGATATATACAATATTTTCAATAAATAATTGATTTGGTGTACAAATGACAGATTGTTTCTGACGAAAAATTAAGCCTAGTCTTTCCCTCTTTTTTTTCTGCTATTCTTCAATTTTACTGTTTATATGTTAAGCAAAAAAATCAAAAAATGAAAAAATTTAAACTGATTGACATTCTTCTAAACAGCACAAAATTCTTTAGCAACGATGGTATCTTTTTGTACAGCTTTCTTCAACCCCCTGATTCTGTTATATTTCAATTCAACAATCAAAAACATCTGCATATCCTTGAGTGAAAAAGTGGAAAACTGAAAAAAAAAAGACAACAACTATCAGTGTGTGACAGTGATTACGTAGGTCTTTATTCAATTTAATTCGAGCATTCAATTAACGAACACTGTCTAAGGGTCAGCTTCATTGTATTAGAAAAAAAAAAAAAAATTCTAATTTACCGATAAGAGAACGCAATTTTGTATCTAAAATTTAGCTAACAATTTTTCTGTTTTATTTTTCAACTATTACTGTTGTAACTTTTCAAAAATTAACTTGACTGCGTTCTGTACCTTTTTTTTTCTTTCTATAAAAATTAACAGAGAACAGAAAAACAGCAATTTTGTTTCAGTAATGAAACTTAAAACTAAAAAAAAAAAATTTTGCCTGATATCAATGGAACTAAATAGACAAACTGTGTGTAGTAACAGTTATCAATCAAAATAAGTGTCTGAAAATGTAAAACCGTTTTGTTTTTAATTGTATTATTAAAAAAGTTAGCAACAAAATTTTGTCTGATTGATCAAAATGATACTTATTGTTGTTACACAGGTGTTATTTTATAAATTGAAACAGAAATTTTTAACATTTGATAGCAGTACTTTCAGCATTTTCTACTCTCTTTTTTTTTTTTAGCTTATTAGTTACAGCACTCTTTTACTGTTCAAATTGGTGGCATAAACTTAGTAAAACCTACAAAAGTTTTGTTTTTTCTTTTTAGCAGCACTGTCACTTCTTCTGTACACTTTCATCTTCAATTTTTTGAAATTTATCGACAACGATTATGCAGCTTAGGTTTATCGAAATTGGAAACTGCGATCGCTTGAGACCTAATGAACAACAAAATTGATTTAGTGTAGTTTAAAAGACTTCAAGTTATTTTGTCGGTTGATATTACCAACGATTCTGAAGTTATTAACAATACTATTTTATAGTCAAAGAAAGGAAGAAAAAAAGAACATAAAGCAGCAATATTTATCTCTAAGGTATTGCAAAACTCTGCTGTTAGTGATTTTCAAAATTATTTGTCTTTTTTTTTCTTTTTGCTCAGGTATAAAGACTATGATAACACCGCTGTTATATATACATTGAAAACAGCTCTCAAATTTTATCAGTTTTCTGAAAAACAAAAAAAAATTAGAGAAAAGTAACTGAAAATTAAAGTAACTAACAGAATTATAAACTGAAAATGAGACTGTATAAACCATAACAATGTCAAAAAAAAGAAGAAAAAAAGAAAAAAAAAAAGAAAACATTTTAAAGAGTTTAATGATTTGTTAACAAATTTTTTCTTCACTGATCACATAATCTATTGCATTTTACCAGACAGCTATTATTCCTCGAACAAACAACATTGCTTTAGTCCAAACTAACTCATCAAAGTCTTTTTTCAAATCAGTTTATGCAGATTATTTTACAGTGTTGTTAATCGAACTGTTCATTCAGTAATGTTGTTATCGTCTTTTAAGCAATCATTAGTCTGCCTGTTGATGATAAGTGTGTAGAAAAACAAATAACAGTGTTCGATGGAACCCCGATGTCGAATGCCAATTACTCAATATTGTATTCAACAACAACTAAGATAAAAGGGTATACAAACACCTAAGCTTATCATGCATAAATTTTTTCACCAATAAAGGTTCGACAAATAAGCACTTGTTTGTAGGTATAGTATTGCCTAATTTATATCAAAAACTTTTTTTTTTTCTTCTGCAATATACATGATTTCTGCAAATTTTTTTTTCACATTTATTGATTTTTCAAACAGATCAAAAAAAAAAAAAAGGAGGCATACTGAGAACTCCAGCTGCGTCATCGAACATAAGAATCTATGCTACAGTACAGTACTGTCGTTATAATCAGTGTGTATGATGAGGTTATCAAGTGCAGTTGGTTTTAACTTTAAAGTAAACTTTTAATTGTGCGCTTGACTACATTAGTCATTTTAGATTACTGTTACAGAAATTTCAATTCTGCACGGTTAATTTATTTCAAACAGTGACAATGTACGACTAAAATTTAGCTTACAAGTCACGTTTCTCACTGTTAGACAAACTTTTGACTTTGTCAAATGGTGACGTTGAATAAAAGATTTTGGGTCAGAAGATCAATTAAAGTGTTGCTCAAAAATTACAGTTCTTAATATACTATTCTGTTTACAGTTTCTTAGAACGCCAGTGCCAATATGCTAACCAATAGAAACGTTGAAAAGAGCATGTGAACACTACAGAACATGATAACAGATTTTTGATTACAGTAGCAAAAATTTTACTTGTAGCTTTTAAACGGTTTTTAAAGATTTCTTTAAATTACTATATGCCTCAAATTTCTCTGAAAATTGTTGAATTATATGGTTTGAGAAAAAAGTGTATAAAGAGTATTTTAAAAATAAAAGTGCTGTACCATAATGTTAGTTTCAGTTTTAGCAGTCAATTTTTTGCAGGTGAACCCACCTTGTTGAGTGGTAAAAAAAGAAAAAAATTTTACGATGTATTTCAAGAAACAAAAAATAATGTAATGTCATCAAAAAAATTAGAGAATTTTATTTTGATATAACATATTTCAAGTTTGTAGAAACAAAACATTTTAAACCATTCTTGAGGTAACCCTTAATCGAAACAACAATTTTAGCACTTTTAAATGTCATTCTGCTGACACTGCTTCGATAATGGGTAGACTACAAAACTTTAGCCTAACAGAATCCACAAGTCTGCGCACACTTCTTTTTCATAAGACTTTGGTAAGCGGCGTTGCTACAAAGATTTAATTTTTTTAGGCACTCACTCGTATTATAGTCCGCACATACGACACCACTTGAGCCTGAGGCCGTTGTAGTGGCTGAAAAAAACTCTGTATTTTAAGCACGACAGTGCCGGAATAAATAGTATACTTTCAAAAGTCTCACCTTCTGCAGCTGTAGTTATTGGATCAGGTGCTGTGGTTACCGGAGCAGGTGGTGTAGTTACTGGAGCAGGTGGTGTGGTTACTGGATTAGGAGCTGTGGTCACTGGAGCAGGTGGTGTTGTCTCTGCTGCACTAGCTGTTGTAGTAGCCGAAGCACCATCATTACAGAAGCCGCACGTAACTGGACATTTTTCGGTCATTAGTTTTTTGTAGGCTGCACTGCTGCAAAGTTGCTTTTTGGCCTGACATTCAGAAGAATTGTCATCTGCACAAACGCCACTCCCACCAGCTGCAGCTGTTGTTCCTGAAAAATTGTTTTACTTTATTTTTTTTAAAACTAGCTTGCTAGTAATCTGTTTAAAAACTAAAAATTCTTTTTTAGCAGTGATTATCAGTGCTTATCCAGGCAGGAAATGAATTTAATAAAAGTCTTGGTTAGTGAAAGGAT